TGTTTATTACATTCTTACATGTACATGTATTTGTACATGCTGCCAACATGACACCATAACTGTAAGGAAGATATGAGACGTATAGAATTACATGTATATGTACGTCACTCACTCCATTTTTAATGATGTCATCAAATATGCTGAAGAGGTTAGTCTCACAAAGTCTTCTCTGCTTACAGAGCTGATACCATTCGTCATTACTGCTACCATGGCAACTGGACCACCACACCCACCTAATAATGACATTAATGAATTAATAATCATCGTTCCGAAAAAATTAGCTAAAAAACATGATACATGTACAGTATAGCCTCTCTTAATGGACACTCTCTATAGCATACACCTCCATTTAACGGACAGCACCTAGTGTACCAATTACATTCCTTACTGTATAAAATAACCTCCACATAAAGGACACCTCTGTATAACAGAGACACTTTCTTGTACCCAAAGTGTCCATTATATAGAGGCTACACTGGTAATACTAATTAGCAATTAACAAACAATGTTTCTTAATCAAATACATCACATGCTAATAACTTTATGAATAGAAGTCCCACCCCCACAAAAATAATACCTTTTTGTCGTGAAATTATTTCAATAAAATGACAAAAATGAAAAGCATGTTCATGTACATGAATTAGTCAAACAACTAACAATATTTATTTATTTATTTAAGGAGCACAAGACCAACTTAATACATAAATAAATAAAGATTATTTCTGATATATATATATATACCTTGTATTGGCAATGATACTCCACGAGTTATTGATGAGGCCATTAATCCTTTTGCAAGTGATGGAGAGAGAAGAGATATCGGCCAGTGAGAGAGAAGGATGGGTACATATTAACTGGAGGATTTCTGACGGTAACAGTAAGAGGGACATGAGGTTGAGGTAAGGGAAAGTAGAGGTTGTGGATCAGAGATGGGCAATTTTGTTTGTGACCACGCCTATTTTAATTAATATTGGTAGTTAGTTTAGAAGCACGTGGTTTCCGTATACTTGTTCCGAACACTTCCGGAAACAGTGGGTTGGTACTTGGTACAAGGCTACAAGCATGCAGGGATGAAATGGTTCCTTCCTTAAACCTCGTCTATAGTCTGGGACCAAGAACCCCACAGTGTAGCACATGAGACAAGGCTAGATTTTTATTATTATTAATACCTAGCCATTTTATTAACTTTATGGGCGTGTTCAATCAATTAATTAAGTGCTATTGATAATTAATAGTCTGTGAAATAAGTAATATTAGTACTTAAGTGATATTAGTATTTAGAGAACATTATACAATTTGTGGTTGAGGTAGTGTATGTTGTATTTTAACAGTCAATTAATGTATTAACAAATTGTACATGTCAATATTTTAATTCTTTTCTATTATTACTATTATAATCCTGGTACCCAACCTGGAAGCATGATGGGAATGAAACCTGTAGAAGCGGCAGTCATTAGTGTATCAGTATTGAACCAGACTAGAGGACCAGTTGATTGTCTGTGTACAGTCACATGAGGATCAGGTGACTTGGTCTTCATCATATATCAGTTAAACACCACACCTACACAATAAATGAATATATTAGATTAATTTGATTATAATTTTAAAAATTAAAGTTGGAATCAGCTCAAACTTTCTACACAGCATAAGGACATCAATGATGTATCAGAAAATGTAATAAAAATTTGGGGTGATTTTGGAGCCATTTTTTGGACAAAATATAAAGGACATAAAGAGGAAGTTGCTTGGCTACCGGTGCTAGGCAACCGTTACATAGCAACCCCGATAAACTAAACATTATTGCATAATTTGTGCATGCACTTAGGTATCGGTATTTGATTCCATCAATTCCAATCCCAGAAGAATTTGGATTCAATTGCAAATGATTTGATGCATTATTTGCATAATAGTTTAATGTTCATTGTTATCATCAGTCAATAAAATAATAGGCTGGTCATATTCATACATTCATACTCATAATTTGTGTTAACTTAATTATGAGTCTCCATGGCGACAGTTATTAATCACGTGATCAAGAAGATTAAAAATGTCTTCTCATTCAGAGGCCCAGTGCTACCCTCTCCTGCACAGTAACGGCTCCTGGGAGGGAGTCTGTAACAACGCACGAGCTACCAACTACCTCGTCGCAGACTATCAGGACCTCCTAAATAACACTGGGGATGGCGGGGCCGTCTTTTACCTTCCTAACATTGAGCTTGATGCTTCTGATCAACGGACCGAACACGTTCATTTTCAGAACAGCGCCGGGCTGCTCCTGGTCCTTATCCTTCTCTCCCTCACTATCCTTACTATATGGGTCTTTAAAGTCAAGAGGTTTCGGGTTATGCATGAAACTGGACTATCTATTTTGTACGGTGAGTCCTGGTGGGCGTGTACCTCGTACATGTACATGTACCTGTACAGTATAGTTTCTCTTAATGGACACTCTCTATAGCGTACACCTCCATTTAACAGACAGCACCTAGTGTACCAATTACATTCCTTACTGTATAAAATAACCTCCACATAAAGGATAAAGGACACCTCTGTATAACAGAGACACTTTCTTGTACCCAAAGTGTCCATTATATAGAGGCTAGTCTGTACTATAATGGGATCCACTTTATGCTATAGTATTTGTAATGTGGTTGGTTTTTGGCGTGTCCAATTTCATTGTAATTAGCAGAGTTTGTGTGGGTTTAGTTGGCATTTTGTTAAAAGTTTATTGTCAGAATTTCCTACCTCCATATAGTACACACACTCATCATGTAGTTGCTGTTAATAGTTTGGACATTGTACATGAACCATCACTTGGGGAAGATGCTGTTTTGATTTTTGTGATGGACCAAAGCAAATTATTGTAAAATTCGCTTTGTGACATGAAAACTTTTCAAAGAAGAGGATTATAACTTTGCTATTTTTGTATGAAAGTAGAACAAAAATGACAATCATCAAGTTAACTGAGTGTATGTGAATTGGTAACCAATATATGTCCCAAGGAATTTGTATGTACATGTACATGTACTTACGTATATGTATTGTATGAATGGTGCTAGTGGATGACTCATTCATAGTATGAGATTGTGTTCATTCTTTCTCAGTTATTCTAAGTTTAATGACATTAATAACTCAATTTTTTTAAAGTCAGTTTGATTGCAATACATCATAAGATGAGATGACTGTTCAGTATCCTTAGATTATAGAGTATAGCTTTATTGACAGATATACTTGTACATGTACTTTATGATGATATCAAGTGTTAGGTAGTTGAACTGATGATAAAAGGTTCAGTTATGTTCTCATACATGTACATGTACTTGTGTCCCCATCTTGAGGTGTGGGCTTTAATTGGAATGATACTTTTAACGTGTCCATGAACAATAACTGGATTGAATCTTTCATTTTTATTACGTTTTTGAAGTGTTTGTAATCCACCATTTCTTAGTGATGAGCAATTCTTAGTCCGGAGTATTTAATCAAGAGCTGTAATACCGTATAGCCACAAAGTTTCGAGGCAATAAACTTTCGCGAATCAGGCCACAAGTCTTTTTTCGCGAATTAACTTTCGCGGTTCTTGTTTTAAAGCACACGTGTTTATGGGCAATACGGATATTTCGCGGAATTAAATTTCGCCAATACGGAAAATCCGCGAAAACAGCGAAAGTTGTACCCTCGAAATTAAGCGGCTATACGGTAGATGACACATGGTTTTGTGCATGTGCAGATGTACATGTAGTATTTGGAACTGAATTCTATTGATTTCAGTCCCAGAAGATTTTGGAATTGAGATTGATTGCAAATTTCTGGAGTTTCCTGTAGGCCTAATGATTTCAATAATGATTTCAATGGTTAGAGCACGATCCTGTGTGGTTGTCACTGGATGAATGATTTGCCTCCACCCCCACCCACCTGTCCTTTTATACTGGAATAACCTACCAATGGTCTTGTGGGTTGACATTTTAGCACATTAACATCTGGAGCTACATAACTAACACTTACTTGTAACTGCATATTGTTGTTGTTGTTTGTTATTATTGTTATCGTACATGTTGTATGTTTTATTATTTTATTTATTAATTTATTTATCCCAGGTATTATAATTGGTGTCGTTATTCATTACGGGTTCCCTTCAACGCCTCAGGATGAGTTCTATCTGGCAGAGAAAGAGTGTGAGAGTTCAGGGACAGTGAGGACCTTTGAAATAGGAGATTCAGTGATACTACAGACCCAAGGAGGGGACGGGTTCAGGTGCTCTATTAATAGTAAAGTGTTCAGGACTAGAGAAGGAGACAGGATTGAAGAAGCAGTGAGCATTTTATTAGCTATTGTTATTATTATTATTATTATTATTTGTTATTATTAATTGTTGTTATTTTCAATTTGGTTATTTTGTGCACAATACACTGTATATTGAAGTACAGTCTTGTCATTGTGTTCTTGTTTTATGTTAATGTTATTAATAGATTGATACATACATGTACATGTGTAAGTAATACAATGTTCTCTCTCTCTTCCTCTCTCTCTCTCTCTCTCTCTCTCTCCTCCAGTTATTATTTGATCCAGAGTTATTCTTTTTTCTTTTACTTCCTCCAATTATATTTTATGCTGGATACAGTCTTAAAAAGGTACGCCACAATCTACATAGACATACAGTACAGTATATGTTTATAATAATGACAATATTGTATATTAACATTCTTTATTGTTATTCTCTTCTCTCCAGAGACATTTCTTCAGGAACATTGGTTCATTGTTGATGTATGCTTTTGCTGGAACTGCAATATCATGCTTTGTAGTCGGGTAAGAGTACATGTTAAATTATTATTTAATTAGACATACATGTACATGTACATGTATTAAAATATTTATTATTATTATTATTATTATTATTATTATTATTATCCTCCAGTGCTATGATGTATGGTTGGGTCCTCAGTACAATAGACAACAGATTATCTGAAGCTTTTGCTACTCGTAACATTTCAGTCCCAGGGGCTCCTGAAGCTTTTGGAGACAACATCATTCCTTCATTGCTGTTTGGGTCACTGATATCGGCTACTGATCCAGTGACTGTACTTGCTATATTTCATGATCTTCATGTTGATGTTGATTTGTACTCATTAGTCTTTGGGGAGAGTGTCATGAATGATGCTGTGGCCATTGTACTCTACAGGTAATGCACTGATGAATGTATACATGTACTTGTACTGTGTGGAAGGTTTGAGCTGATTCCAATGAATTTTTTAGTTACTCAAAAATTAGGCCAAAGTCCCTGTACTAAATTAAAAAAAACAAGATGAAGTAGGATTCTGAACGACCAACGAAAATACGAAATGA